TGCACCCGCATACATAATGGCCAGCAGGTGTACGGATAGTTGATGGGTGGATTGCATCATTGGGAATTAACCGAGGGTGGTGGAACTGCTTGGGAATATAATCAGCGTGGTCGAGAGGGCTTCTGATGCTGAGGCTGTATATGAGAGTGGTTGAAGTAAAGAATATATGTAGTCGTCTGACCAGCTTTGAAGAGTAGGCCAAATTGCCTCTCGAAAACTCCCATCGGTGGCATGAGCAAATTATTTCAGGGCTGTACCTTAACCTAAACAGCGAATCATGAAAATAATGAACGGTGTATCCCCCTGGATGTGTCGTGGCAATTAACCCTAGTTTCGAAGCCTCATTTATTGGTGAAACATCCACGTTGCCATGATGTTGAATTCATCTACAAAGTGGTACTGGTTTTACTTACCCGAGAAGGACAATAGGCAAAGTCAACACATGACCGAACTTTGAACTCTCAATCTTCCACGTGTGAACCTCGCACTCTGTCACTATTCCAAACGGGCAGTCGAAACATTTCAAAATCCTTTGTGAATCCACTGCTGGATGAAGGCCTCCTCACATTGCATTAGTCGTGGTAGTTGTCGGTGGATGGTGGAGGTCAGTCCATTATGTACAGTTGCATGCATGTGCATACATGTTATGAATGTAAATACGCTTAATCGTTCACTCTCCCATATGTAGACTGAGGACAACTTGGAAAATTTGTGGAAATTATTTAAAATTATTTTCCTAAATAAACACGTACATATATTTTTTTGTTTAAACAGATGAACGGAAGCAAACACCCTTGACAAATCTCGTTCCGCGCCTAATGTGTAACATATCGCAATACATCGTATACATGGTCACACTTAAATCCTCAGTGGGTGTTGTTTTTTTCTTCATAACATAAGGTTGTGTGCATTCAAGCGGTAACAGCAGCAAGATTACATGCAGCAGAGATCTGGCAGAGGCGGTATAACAGCTGCGGCAGGCCGAAAGTCGTCAGCACATCGTAAACGGGTGCGTAATGCCACCACTGGACTTACACGGCATGGTGGTGGTGGGGGGGATAGCAAAGGTTTGCGTGGGAAAGAAACATTAGATAAATGAAATGTCAAGGGTGATGGATGTTGCCGTGGTCTAATGATCAAACGTGTAAATGACGAGGACACCTCATCATAACGGAATCCCATTGCAGGGCACCCCACGTAATCGGTTGCCCAGAGGCGAGCTGTGCCGGAGTGAGCATTGGGGGCTATATTGTGCTGATGAGTCCTAATAAGAAGAAACCAGGTCGTCAATCTCTGCATCGCTGCTGCCTATCTAGCCGGTCACATTTGCTCAAATTTCCACGTGACGAGCCACTTCGTCGAGCGATCGATCATTGGTGGCCAGGTCGCTTCTGGTAACATCAAACATAGTTTCGTTTCGGTTTTATTGTTTGCGTGTTTTGTTCACCTTTCCCATACTTTGTACTACTGTCGTGTTTTGCATCGTTTGTTGTACATTTCTGACCGGCCCCTACTGATTAATCGTGACCTAAGACAGGAAGACCGCGATGCACTTGTTCAGGATGGTTGTTGCATGATGCTCAGAAGCCGTGCGGTTTGTAAACACGCGCGTGCGTTGCTTGTACGCCTGTGTGTGTTGTTTGTACACACGTGTGTGTTGTTTGTAACCGTGTGTGTGTGTTGTTTGTACACGTGTGTGTTGTTTGTAACCGTGTGTGTGTGTTGTTTGTACACACGTGTGTGTGTTGTTGTTTGTACACACGTGTGTTGTTGTTTGTACACGCGTGTGTGTGTTGTTTGAAACCAGTGGTATGACGGTCAGCGCACTGGACTTGCAATCCAGAGGTCTCTGGTGCGATCTCCCAGCGCAGTGGTCGACGGGCAGGTCGCGTATGGCGCGGTAAAGCGTGGACACCCCCTACCTCTAGCCAAGACATCCGGCCAGCGTAGAAGAGTAGACCAAACGTCGCTCTGGATGAGCGCTCTAGAACTCCGAGTGGAGGCCCTTCTTCCAGCAGTGGCGTGAGCAAAAGAGCGCAGAGCTGCACCTTGGCATTTGTATGTTGAACTTCTTTCGCACCGGACGTAGCCACACCGTGCGAAATCGAAGTGTCAAAGGAGAGTCTTGATGATGTCCCTGAGAACAGAAATACAGCGATACTTGGCCGTATCGCTGCCTACACCACCCCCAAGGCGTGCCACGGTGGCCTTAATAGAAGCTCACTAACAAGGGCCGTGTAAACTTCGTATAAAGACAAATAATGTACAGGAGTGGGTTGCTCTGTGTGTGTGCGGTAGTGCAGTGGTTAGCGCGCTGCACTACAAACCCGGCCACCCGGGTTCGATTCCCGCTCACGGCCAACACCAGTGACGATTATCTGAACCGGTCCTGGGCCTCCCCGAGGTCGACTCAGCCTTAAAAATGACTCGCTAGTGCGGTGTGTAAACATCGCCGCTAGGGAGACAAAGGCGGCCGGGCGTGGTGTTGGCCAACCACCCACCCACCCCCTCGTGTGCCGTGCCGGCCTTCATAAGTGCACGCTAGTAGCGCTGTTACAGGCTATACGGGGGATCTTTATCTTTGTCTTGTGCGCGCGCGTAAAACTGCACCTCGTAAAAGTCCTTTACAATTCTAGTAACATCATTGCAATGGATATCGCTGTACACGAGGCAAGTGAGGGATGGAGCACAACAGGTGCCAACCACCCATCCCCCCCTCGCCACCGAATGCTGGATATAGCCTCTCGCTGTGCAAACAGCGCAATGGAAAGTTATAAGATACGGACGGCGTCGACTCACGAGAGAGAGGGGGGGGGGGCGAGATGGAGGGAGCGCGCACCTGAGGTGTGTGGCTCACGAACACGCTCAGAGCACACCTGCGGAGGGTTCACGCTGCGTCACGGCGTGGCCGGCATGCTCCGACATCTCGGCGCTCTTTCGTCAGAGGCGGGTCGAGACATTTGTCAAGGGCGGTGGGGGGGCGTCTATGTCCCAGAATAACACTTTTTTTTACAGGGGACCGATATGAATCATTTACAACAACAACATCCAATCAATAAAATACAGATTTAGGGGGTCTCGAAGAGGGGGGGGTGCCCTCCCCCCGTCCCTCGGGACCTGCCACTGCTCTTTGTGTATTGTGTTGCAATCCCGAAGCGTGACCTTTTAAGGGGCGTATCCAGAGACTCGGGGGATGGACGGCACCACATAATCAATGTCAAACAATCTTTAAACAAATCTTAATGATAAGCAGATTGAGTAAAAATGCGATCGATTTGTTTTAAAACCAGGTAAGGCCTAGTGAGCTATATCGCATTCACAAATGATAACTCAACCGAGTGGGTTATCACGTGGAGATGTATAGCAGCCAAATACTCTATTACGCATGATGTTGATTCTAAATGTGGAGAGAGAGAGAGAGAGAAAAAACCCGAAGAAAAAAAGTATCTGCGCGAGTCTATTTGTTCTTTGTGTCTATCGGTCTGTATGCATGTATGAATGTTGAACTTCTAGAGCGCCGTACATAGCCAACAGTGCTAATCGGAGGTGCGGTCTCTATGCATACTGAATTTCCATGCTCCCTGTAATTGAATCTTCATCGTCTCTGCTCAACACGTGCTCAAACCATCTCCGTCGGGCGCCATGGTGGCAACATGCTATCTTCCTCTCTTGGTATGCAGGAGGTCGTGGGCTCGATCCCGACCCTGACACCTGGTGTATATTTGGAGCTTGCATGTCTCCAATGGTCGTGCGGATTTTTCTCTGGGTCCTCCGGTTTTTCCCTCCACATTTAGAATCAACAACACGCGTTTAGAGTACTTGGCTGCTATAAATTCCCACGTGATCAGCCACTTCGTTGAGCCATCATCTGTGGCCAGGTCGCTTCTGAAAAAGAGCTATATAGCTCAGTGGGCTTTACCTGGTAAAACAACAAAACATAGTTTACAGTTTAAGTCTCACCTTCCATGCCTTCTTGAAAAGATTAAGCTCTGATAACTGAATAACGCCTCCTCTCCCTTGAGCGACATTCCCAACATCCACCTCGGTAAGATCACCTCTGTTCCTTCGTGTGTTCTTCTTCAGTCTCTCTTTCCTTAGTGCCCATGTCTCTGCACACAATAACAGCACCGATCGTATCACTGCCCCATACATTTCTCCCCGTCAGACTGGCATCTTTCTCTCGCATACAGTTGCCACGGCTGTGGTCGGACGTGAACATTACCCGCGTTGCATCCGTTCTGAGAGAGTGCACGGTATTATGAAACTGAAGCGAATGTGGACGCAATATGTATGTCTGGGGATGACGGTTTGATACGACCGCAAGCTGAACCAAAGAACAGCACCAAAAGCACCGCAGATAGAGCTCTCCCGTAAAACCCCCAAATATATATTTTTTACGATGAAGAGAAACACTCCACATTTAGAGAGAGCGAAAGAATACACACAAACATGTGGACTTGGGCAGGACACATCGCAAAAAAATATATACCTAATAGTCATACTAACAGAGGCAATAGCAGGCAGAGACGACAGTATGGACGTAGGCTTCACCAAGGCGAGTGAAGAAACGATGGCACAACAGCCGCTGCCATTCCGCGAGGGCTTGCGGTCAGTGGCGCAAAGCAGACGAGAGGGAGGGCCTTTATCCAGCAGTGCATTGAGCCTCGCTGATGTTTATCACTCCCGATTCAACAAAACACCATCGCCGCGTGCGTTGAGCGCGATACAACCCCCACCCCGCGGTCAATGCGTGTGTCTGTGCGCCGTTGGGACTTTGGCAATGCGCGTCTCGTGACAAAACAAAAGGCGACTGTGCATGGCCCCATGTTGTTTTAGTTTGAATTGTTATCGCATTACATTTGGGGCATGCTACGCGAGTTAAATGGCAGCTGGACTCAATCAACGATTTTATTTAACAGAAGAGGAATGTAAAAAGAAGCAAAGCCACTTACGAGTTCTTGGGAAATAAAACAATAATAATAATAACTCACGAGACCGTGTTTTTTTGTTTGTTTTCAATGTTCATCCTCATATAGAAAACATTTATTGCACATCTTCATCCATACATGCTGCCCGCACGCCCCGTCACAGGCCAATATTTCGCGTGACACAACGCACGTTTTCGAATTCCGCCTCCCCGTCAATTTAAATGTGGAACATTCCACGTCAAACATCGTCTCCCCCCCCCCCTCCGCATTACGCGCACTAAGTAGCACTGCGCCAGTCGTGTGGAGGTGGTGGGGGTGTCATCCAACCATTTCTTTGACGCATCAATCCTCAAGGTAAACGTGTGCCTCCTCGACAGCATGCGCAACAACGAAATTCTACTCCGCGCACTTACGCACGAAACCCCGTAAAAAGCGACCTATATTTAACCGCATGCGATGGTGGGAGACGTGGGGAGGGGGGGGGTGTGTGCATACGGCGCTTCGTGGTATGGGCAGTATGCAGCCGGCCTTTCAATCGCACGCGAGCCATCGGCCGCCTTTAAATTATTTTGGAATGTTGCGCGTAGCGCGTGCAAAGGGACCGTCGGCGATTCGAATCGCACGCCGCTTCTCTCCAGCAGGGGGTCATAGTCATCATCATCATCATAATAATAATAAGTGCCTTGGGATTAAGACATTGGCTTGTTGAAAACTCGAAACATTTGATCGACAACTGTACAAAAAAACTAATATTTACAACGACAAACAAACCCACGGATCACGAAATAAACAAGATTCGCGTTCACATTCGAAGAATACTGTCCCATCGCAACGCAGCCCAATCAACCAACGCATTCACTCGATCGACGTGGGAACCCAGAAATTTCGATTTAAAGCTTTCGTGACTGCAGGGATTCATATTCTTGGTTCTTTCGGTAAAGTCGCGTAAAAGGGAAATAATAAAATGATAAAAATAAAACATAATAAAAGAATTTTATTGTACGTGACTTTACCGAAAGAACCTTGAATAGGAACCCAGAAATTGTGTAAATCCCTTTCTCATAAATCCTCTCCCAGCACGTTGTAACTCAATATATGGGATCGCGAAACCACGTTTGCGGCTTTGAAACGTCAGTGGCAGCAGTGCACGTAGACTCGGTATCGCTGCGGCCAATCAGCTGTGAGTCACCCTTGCATTGTCCCTGCGGGTCGTGAAGAATGAAGCGTGGCAACACTTGGGTGCGATGTGCTCACGTCTTAAACGGACTGTCTGTGCTGTACTAGATTAACTTTTATATATAGAGAGAGATAAAATGTAACAATATTTTCACAAACTAGACGGTGAGTTATTTTGAATTCTATAAAATACATATTAGGCTCTGGCTCTGTGTATTATCTGCAATTTGCTGCCAACAACCGTAATTCATGCCCAGCAAGAGAGTGAAACGAATTTCCATTCATTTTGTCAATGCTTGCCGCGTGAAGGCCCTTCCTATTCTGCGTCACCCATGGGAGTCGCTCAACCATACTTCCCCACGCTGAGGTAGTGTTAGTTGGTGAAGTAAGCGGGAGGTTCCAAGGATCGGTGCAGATATAACCCACCAACGATTGTTAGCCGTGGGTTGAGATTCGAAATCGGGCAGCTGGGTTCACTGTGTGGAATGCCACCACTCCAACGAGAGAGTACACACAATCAGCTAAAAATCTGGTGACACAGTTGTGGCAGGGAGTGGTGGCGTAAGTGGTTATCGTACTGCATACGAAACCCAGCGATCAGGCTTCAACTCGCACTCACGTCAGTGGCGAGCGATACCTGAACCCGTCCTGGTTTTGCTCTCCAATTGATCAACCCGCACTGACAAGTTTGGTGAAGTATGGCTGAACGATCCCCATGACGAGGGTTGCCACCTGTCCTGCTTTTTCCAGGATTGTGCTCTTTTTGAGGGAGCTATCCTGTTGAGTTTGTAAGTTTTCCCGCATCATTCAAAATGAAAAGTCCCGGTTTTTGTCAGTTGACGTGTCGTTCCTCTCTCTACTGGTATTGTGAGATATTCACCTTATCACGACATGGCTCTTTTGTGCCTGAGACGTGGCAACCCTACCAATGACCGACACGGAATGAGGAGGCCTTCATCTAGCAGCGGATTGACAAAGGGCTGAACATAAGCACAGTCCTGTATAACGCATGAAATCGCAGACACACACACCCGCGGCTCCTGCGGATGCCATTAAAACTCACATCCTTACTCGTTCTCCTACAGAGAGGCCTGAAACCAGATCTCCAGGCTGACCACAAGCAAATGAAAAGATGCCAATCCTGCAAAAAAATAAAAAGTGGTGGCGCGCTCTCAAGGGCTGTTTAGGGGCACACGAAGAGACTTACCGCCTCTTATCGGAGCAACGCGTTCACTCCGGGAATTGGACATGGAGGTAGGGGGGGGTGTTGCCAAGGCTTTGCCAACCCCATCAAAGGGACATCGCGTCCCACGGTAGAACAGGAGACAGGGCCACCCCCCCCCCCCACACACACACACAAGGGCCTGGGCAATGCGAGGAAAGAATTTCTGATGAACGGCGTAGAGGTGCGAGCCCAAAATTGGGACGAGAAATTGTCGCGCGACCGCGTGGTTTTAAACTCGTCGCGGGCGCGTCACGAGTGCGAGGGGTCGCCAGATCTCGCCTCAGCTGCCCCATTCCGCCACGGCCGGGGGAAGGGTTGGGTGACGATTGGCTATGCAGAGCAGACGGCACCGGGTCCGCAGGACTCGACCCTGTGAAGCGTGACCTTGTTTGAGCGGGGCGCACAATAACTCAGTGGGGTGCACGACAGAGTCAATGTTAAACTTTGAACAAATGATAAACGCAACAAACGGTACGAGTGTATGATGAGTATCGGTTGATCTGTATGATTTGGTCTTGGCTACTGCACATTGTGATCTAGCTCATATAAGTTGTTTAATTTATTCTGTACGGATTTGTTTTCACGAACACATACTCTCTCCCACTACCGATGTGTAGTTGAATAGATTCGATACCAAATATGCGAATGTATATTATATATATCTTTAGGTGAACTAAAAAGTCAATGCGATATTCAGAATTGCTATACCGATTTCGAGTTCGTAATGTATGCCACAACATTGGTTACCATCATGGGTTTTGTTTTTGTAAATTACATTTTCTAACAATACATCATCGTGATACGGGAATAAGTTCGGCAAGTAGCTAATTTCAAGTTTAAGAGCCCAAGATATTTCACGACAGAACGTAGCTTAACAAATGCGCCACACGGGGGTCAAGAGGGCTTGTGTTATTCACCTGATATATATGTACAGTATAACACCTCGCCGAGGTAGTCACAGCCCTCAGGTACAGTCGCAACTCGCACAGCATCGCCGACGTTTACACTGACATTGCTCAGCGATTTAGCTGTCATACAATAACAACTATTATAATCATAGTAAATTACAGCCGTTTGCCAACCCACTGCCAGAAAAAGGCCTCTTCCCATGCTGTTGCTGGTCAGCGTGGTTATTTGACCATAATTCACCACGCTGGTCTGTGCAGGTTGGCAAAGAGGCGGAGAGTCCAGGACTCATTTGGATATCACTTGCCGCTGGGATTCGAACTCGGGTCAACAGGTGGGTAGGTTCGTGCCAAACACTGCACCGCCACATCTGAAATTAAGCAAGACCCAGGCGGTCCCTCCGTATCCACGCGCATGAGACTAATTTGTGATGTTTGAACCGGTGCTGAACCCACCCCTCTTCGCCAACTCACACGGGAGACGAGTGGCCCCGGAATGGCTCACACAGTTGCCATAACTGACGTGGCAGGCGAAAGCCTTCATCCAGCAGTAGCCTAACAAAAGGGGTGAAAATTATTATTGAATGCATGTTTAACTTATTTCGCACCGTGCGTAGCCAACCATGCTTAATCGGAGGTACGGGAAATTATTAAAAGATATTTATAATTTTTAAAAATGTATTTTCATTAGATAGCATAATCACATTTTCCAAATACGCAAAGCGTAGACATGAAGGGTGTATATGCACAGCAGCAATTTGTTGGCGCACTACTCCAGTTAACACTTTGATCGTTGCACTTTTTTCTCCAGATCTGGGTAAAAAAATAATAATTGTTAAATGAACGCCGGCCAATGAAAACACGGCCCACGATGTCCCGGGGTTACCACGAAGCTAATTTATAAAGTGACACAGTCCTATATATATATCACAACACTTTACGATGCAGCCTTTATCTTAAAGGTGCATTAAGCAATCCCATGTGTAAATTACCAGTACATGTGAAAGTTAACCACTTGCCAAAGACTGCAGCCGATGTTGAATTACGAAGGAAAAAAAATGAACGTAGATTGTTTGTCCCTTGGGAATGGGAAAAAAAATCTAACGATTTAAAGAATACGCGAAAATAAATACCATCGTAGGTTCTCCCGTGCTTAATTAGCACAATTCCATCATCGAGTCTTTCATGCGACCGCAAGAGTCGTATTGTTCTTATCACTTTGAATTTAACAATTGACAGGCTTCACGTTTTTAGCATTTACGTGTGTTCAGCAGCAACCAATACAAACATTGAGGGGGAAAGAAATAATAACAAAAAAACAGCTTCACAGAGGATGAGGACTGGGTGTGCGTTATTAATTTTGGTCAGCAGATGTTTTATATAATGTGCTGGAGGGGTTAGGGAGGGGGGGGGGCGCTATCAAATAAATATGTTCTTTTGATAAGTAGCTGGCACTTGGCGAAGTCATTGGTTTAGAAACAAAATCTGGCTTTCAGTCCAACAAGGCATGGGCTATGCTAAGGCCATTGTACTCGACTGAGCACTATTCGCCTCAATTGACGTATTTTTGAGTGAACGAGTCTCAGCATCTCTCCAAAACTCCACCGTGGAATTGTGCAGGCTGAGCGCTGCCATGGCTCTCCGGTGTGTGCGTTTGGGTCGCATCACCATCGTTGTTTGGAAATCGGAAAGAGAAATTAAACACGAATCGGAGAGCCGCACCACACAATCCCCACCCCCCCCCCCCAAAAAAAAAACCCCACTACGAAGCTGAGTTCATGAGAGTTTGTGAGAGTTGGTCCTGAGCCATCAATTCACTGCTGATTAAGGGATGGTGTTTATTAACATTGGTTAAATAACTGACTATTGATTAATCCATCTCTGTGTGGTTCTCGAAGCGTTCCCCCATGTGGAATTAGACCTTTCAAGGTTCTAAAAGCCAAGGACCCTGCCACCATGGATTGCATATTTATATTCCACAGTATAGTCCAAAAAAATCAAGCCTACAAGGGGTTACTGCTCATTTCCATTGGCAGCCCTGAGTGGGCAGCGGAAATTCCACATTCCCATGGTGGGGGACAATCCCTCCAATAGGGTGGTGACTTGTTGACCTGCCGCAAATTGCCACGGATTTAATTCAACAATTGCAGGGAGCATGGGCTGAGTTCACCGCCAACTTACATTTCAAAACCGCACAGCCCTTTCGTTTAAGAGTCGAGTTCTGTGAATGTCTGTTTATACGCGTGCTGTATAAATTCTGCTATGTTACTTGTACGTGTCCATCCCTTGTGTGTCCATCCACTGCTGCTTTGAGAGTTATTTCACCATAATTCATCGTGCCAGTCAGTGCAGATTTGTTTAAGGCTGGGGATACATAAACAGGGCATATAAGTAGAGTACAATGGATTTTGCTGCGCTTCCCTCTGCCACCCAACATGTATCTCTCCACTATTTTAATTACCTGTTGCATAATTATCTTGCTAGATTAATACAAATAAAATATTCTATACTCAATCCGCAGATGCATGAAGGCTTCCCCTATGCCATGCCGGTCAGGTTTTTTTTCCTTTAACCATACTTCACCAGGCTGGTTGGTGAAGCGGGCAGAGAGGGCAGGACCGGTTCTGACATCACTTTGCCTGCCACTGATGCTAGCCGTGGCCTGGAATCAAGCTCATGTTCACAAATTTGTCTCTTTGCCAACGGCATTCCCTTTTGTGTTTCAGCTTCACTGCCAACCCAGAAGCTCCGTGTCACGCAGGTGACCACAACCGGAAATCGCGATGTCATTAACTCCACAGCCCCAAGGCGGCGGCGGCGGAGGCGGGAGGCTGGCTTCACATCGGCCCAATTCTCTGCGTCAATCGAACTTCCGCGCTGACACGCGGTCAAGGCTTCGCGGGCGCCGCATGAGTCCATTGTTTATTCGGCACGAGCTGATGGATGGGCTGTGGGATGGGTTCCCTGAGGCCTTACGTTGCTGTCATCAGAGAGGACTGCGCGAACTGGATGGCCACGCCTGTGATCAGATTGTTGGTTTAAAAAAAAAGTTGACTTTAAAGTTGACCCCCCCCCCCCAAAGACGTCACTGGCACCTTTAAATTTTAAACGCAGCCGTCAGCCCGATCATGCAATGTGATCGAGATATTCACACGTGTTTTTGTTTACTGAACCTCGTAGGTAGATATACAAGAATGTGTGCACTGTGTGTATTTATACATTATCACTTACATTAGCTTTCTGTTTGTGTCTGTGTGTATATAGAAAACAGTTTGCAAAGGTTCTCTGCCTGATTGCTCAAAGGAATACTGTAATACTGCATTTAATCCATCAGCTAAAAGGTCACTGTGTGTATCACAGTAACGTTAATTAATTCAAGGTGGCTTGAGTCTGGTTTCTACTTCACTGATTCTCATCAGCACGGGTTCGGCCTGTTGAATCAATTTCACTGAGTAACAATGTGATGAATGGCCCCGCTCGGCGATCGGATGAATTGCCACAATCGAGGGCCACGATTAGATTTAATAAACCTATTCGTGTTTGAAAACACTCTTGGTGGATATTGTCAGCCACGAGGGGCTTCACATACAACGTAATGTGAATATTGATTCCCACACGCGAGATTCAACTCGCGTCATCGCAAAGGTGAGAATCAAAATTCACTGATTCATTGCCATGTTATGCCTCTGTTATCGAGCAGCCTGAAAGAGGATTCAATCTTGGGGGCCCAACATTTGAGTTGCAATACTAAAGGAGGGTTATCGGCATAAGGCACTACCACGAGAGTGCAAGGCGTGGCGATCTATAGTAAATCCCCCATCGTCGTACCCCGTGTTACTGTAATGATCCCTCGAGGGAAAGATAATGAGAACAAAAACCACGTGGCGATATGGACGTGGCGTGCCAAAATGCTTCCTGAAACAACATTGTGGACTGTTGCATATACCGTAGATTATATATTATACACTCGCGAAGGTCCACAAGATGATCAGACGGCCAATGCGCTACAGTGTCACGCCTCTTTATCCGCAACTATTTATTCGCGGGAGCAGTAGGCCCCACGAACACCCCAATTATCCGCTTCACTATTCCATTATCTGCAATATGTTTTTTTTTGCAAATAAGTGGAGTACATTTTCGGATAATAGGATAAGCGATGTTACCCCCCCCCCCACCTGCAGGTTCACCGCGGATATTTATGGACTGATTGACAGACATTTAGGTCATTGTGCAAGATTTGAATGTTGTTGTTGTTGTTTTTAAAATAAGGGACGGGTCATTCAATGCGGATGGCATCAATCGGGTACACAATTACGGTATGATTATTTTTGCCTGCGTTTTAAGATATGGTGGCCAATTGTGTGTAACCTTCTTAGAACACTCACTGCCTTGTAAAGCTAAAAAAAAACACGACAGAACGTTTTCAATTATATAGCCTCCTCAAACCGAAATGGGAAATGATGATTTGAAGTGTCTCTGGAGCACATTGGCAACAGTAGCAACAACAACAACACACGCCATGCGCTTGTAAAATGAACAAGCATCATCGCAACTGCTGAAGCAGTTTCCCCGCTGCGGATGTCCCCACCTGATGACGGTCGCTTGTGTTGCGATCGAAACGTCGTGATCTGTTACTTTATTTTTCTACCTACCACGTGACTTTACCGAAAGAACCAAAGAGTATGGATTCCCGCAGTCACGAAAGCTTCAAATCAAGATTAACAAGCATTACTCAGCGGTTCAGGGAACCTACAGGACATCCGAGACACCGTGCGGGGCTGCTGAGGAGGTGGCGTGAGAGGAGACGTCGCGGGCAGAAGCTACGGCAAAGCCAGGGGATGAAAGGCGCACGGTAAAGAAAGACCGCAGTGGAGAGACGGGGCGAAGTGATCAACTCAAGTTGAGGAGAAGTGAAGTGAGTTGAGGTGGCATTTTTCAGGGACAGCGAAGGATGGCGATGGCAGCTGGCGCGGAAGGCTTTGATCTGCAAAGTTGGCAGTGGATCGACCACGGCTGCTGACGCTGCTGCAGAACGATGAATAACTACGTGGCTGTTTACGCATGTCAGAGTTCAACAAGATGCTCTAAACGTCTATCAAGGCACCGTGGGACACCGCGTAAAATTAGTTACCAGCGCTAATGTTACCGACGATACCGAGACCGAATATGCGTGTTCTGATTTTAATTTGCGAGTGTGACCGCACACCTCGCCGTCGGTAAGTCATGCCGCTCTTACGACGCGAGCGAAAGACGCGCGCTACGCTTCGAGTTGCGACATTCCATTGACAAGCGCTGCTTCAAGAGACACTTAAAGATAAAGGACTCAGGCATAATACAGCAACGGGGTTCGAGTCGGCCAGGCTGCACAGCGGTAGAGCATCACCCGTTCAGAAGATTGCAAATTCAAGCCCAGTTTGGGGAGGGATTGACTCAGCTCATCATCTCCAATGGGGTCGATAAAATAAGGTACCCACTTTGTGGGGTAGTCAACAGTGGTTGACCTTAGGATAGACTCCATCCCCACCACCACCACAACCATAGGAATGGGGAATTTCCACCACTGGCTCAGGGCTACAAACAGGATATGAGCACGGCCCGTGTGTTGATTTTAACAACAACAACGTCACCTTGATTGTAAACGGCTGAGAACGGTGAGATAGTTCGCGTTGCTGTGAACTCAAACGACGTGAACAATGCCATTAGGCAAAACATTCCAACCACTGAGCTGTAACACAATCGAGCGTGGATCATCATTAGAACGATTTGGCAAACGCGTTGTAAATAGAGTTGGGCATACTTGTAAAGATCTCCCATATTAATTTAGCAAAGTGACCCATTATTCATTCAAACCCGCTCGACACGACAATAATAATTGTCAATGAATTCCATCTCGTGAATATATCCGTCCCATGCATGGCAGCACCCGTTGTTGGCAAGCAAGTGACTATCTGGGTAACTGTGTAGAGGAATTGGAATCTCTCCAATGGGGCCTTTTTTAAGACAGACATACGTGGCACGACTCACGATATGGGATGAAACAGCAACAACCACACAAATAACAAAAATAACCGTACAAATAAAACATAAAAAAGTTTTTTTTTTAAATATACACATTACGAGCGTCAAACCGTCCTGAAATATATATACATAAAAATAGTCTTGAGAACACAGTTTTAGGCTTTTTTGGGGTAAACATTAAAACCCACACCCATCCCCACCCACTCACCCACTCACCACCTACCCCTAGAGGTCGGGGTTCAGGCAGCAGGCGTCCCACGCTGATTGTAGTTTATATATCCACACGCCTTTAGAGTTCACGCGGCCAGAGAGATCGCCTCATCACTGGCACGAGTGTGCGTTTCCGTTCGCGTCCAACACTCCATTGTCTCCATGCGGGGCCTCCTCTCCACCACCACCACCATCAGTGGCGGCGGTGGTGGTGGTGGCTGTGTTGGTGGCTGTGTTGTTGGTGATAGTTGGGGCCGTGGTGACCTTGGCCGTCCCTTCATCTTCACAGCTCACCCCGCAGGGCGTCGTGACGACGCACGAACCCCCACCTCCTCCCTCGTCCAGAAGAAAACCTTGCGCGGACAAAGTCTCGGGTAGCTGCGACGTTCTCTTGGAGGACGCCCATCCCGGACTGGAAACAAAACCCCCATCCGACGTCCCGCAGGAAAGGGGTCTCCTCGCAACCCGACCTCCCGAGCCGGACGATCGCGACCTCCAGAAGCAGAGCAGACGCTTCATGGCCACTCTGAGCTCGGGGCTGCGGCAGTAGATGATGGGATTGAAGGCGGAGTTGGCATAGCCCAGCCAGTTGAGCATCACGAAGAGGCCCCGCGGCACGCACGAGCAGTACACCTGCACGATGTTCACCACGAAGAACGGCAGCCAGCACAGCGTGAAGGTGCCCATGATGAGCCCCATGGTCTTGAGAGCCTTGTGGTCCTTGCGCGACAAAATCTGCGACAATTTCTTTCCCCCGCTGCTCCCCGTGGGTCTCCTGCGCTCGATGGGACTCGTGTAGCCTGGCTGGCCCGTCCCGTTGTCCATCTGATGCTGCTGCTGCTGCTGATGGTTGTTGTGCTCGTGTTGGTGGTGGTGGTGTTGGTGGTGCTGGTGGTGGTTGGACCTCACCTCGCACCTGTCTATCTTCTCCCGCTGCTTCTGAGCCTCCCTAAACACCTTGGAGTAGACGAAGATCATGACGAACATGGGCAGGTAGAAGGAGACGGCGGACGAAACGATGGCGTAGCCCGGAGTGATGTCAAACTCGCAGGTCATGCTGCCGTTGCCGCTGCCGTTGTTGGGAAGGTGCTCCTGCACGAGGACAGTGGCTTTGCGAGAAGACTCCTTCCACCAGCCCATCTGCATGGGCAGAAAGGAGATGAGCGCGGACACGACCCACACGGACACGATGATGATCCTGGCCCTCCTCTTGTTCATGAGCGTCTCGTATCGCAGGGGCCGCGTCACGGCTATGTACCTGTCCACGGCTATTGCGCACAGCGTGTGGATGCTCGCCGTGACGCACATGACGTCCAGCGCCGTCCAGAAGCCGCAGAATGTCTCGCCGAAATACCACGTCCATGTGCCGGAGACGATGAGCGTGGCGCCGAACGGCACCACGATGAGGCCCATTAGCAGGTCGGCGCAAGCCAGCGACGCGATGAAGTAGTTGGGCTGCGTGTGCAATCGACGAAACCTCGCCACGGACGCGATGATCAGGGAGTTGCCCAGGAGGATGACGAAGACCACCAGCGACATGAACACGCCGAGGCTCAGGGTCCACTCCAGGGGCACGTGCTCCGGCTGATGAAGGGTGTCGTTGCGGAGAGGCGACTCGCTCGCACCATGGCTCAAGACCGTTGGCTGTGAATGCGTAACGCTGGAATTGTACACATTCATTCTTACCCCTGGCTGGGTCTACGCGTACGACTTAGAGGCGCGAGGTACTCGAGCCTCGCTCGCGCATCTCAGTGGTAGTTGCCAAGTCTCCTCTTGCGGTAGGCGGTAGTCCGTGAGAGCTGAGCACAAAAAAAGTCGCGCTATTTATTTCAAGTCGACGCTGATGTTGCTGCTGTTGCTGCTCCGTGCTCCATGGGACATCGCTAGGAACGAGTCGCTGCTGCCCGCATGGCACCCACCGCCCATGGCTTGCCTGGGCGACACTAACCACACCATTCGCACGTACGGCGTGCGTGCCGTGCGCGCGTGCGGCTGTGAATAATATAACAATAAAAAATAACGAAATGAACAATAACGCTCAGCTAAGCTTGCTTGGCTGGCTAGCCGACCGAGAAGCCGTTGAGCGAGTCGCAGGACCCTCTGTCAACGAGCGGGACGCTCTCATGTTCACGAGACGCCCGTGCATCCAGGGAGCGCGCGACGTTGTCCCTTCCCCCTGCACCGCTCCTCCTTGCCCGGCGCACTTTGTCGAAGTGGGAGCGCGGAGCGGCTGTGCCTGACGTTAAGTGTGGTGGTGGTGTCGTGCGTGTCTCTCTCCCCCTTCTCCCCTCCCCCCCACTCCTCCACCGCCACCCCCTGCACAGCCAATCCTAGCCGGGCACAACCAGCCACACTCCGTGCCCTCCTCCGGCTATAAATACGGGCTCCATCGGAGAGCGAAAAATATTTATTCTCTGTGCATGTAGTTTTTTTTTAACGAACGCTGAGACTGAAGTTGGGAGTGGTAGGTTTGGTCTGTTCGACATGCAGAGGTTTAGGATGGAATTGACCATACTTCATCACGCTGGTCACTGAGGCTTTGGTGAATGGGGGGAGAGGGTGAAGGGGTAGGGTCGGAGTGAATGGGGTGGCTCACGATCCGGTGCATCTACCACACTCGCCACTGATGTCGGTTGTGAAATTGTGCTCGTGTCGCCCGGTTCGTAGTGCCGTGCGCTATGGTCGGGCGTTTGTTATGGCTTACGGCTCATAAGGGTATGGTCATTAGGGTATGGTCAAGGCTTTGGTGTGAGGCCGAGTCGCTTTCGTGCTCATGTTAGAGGTATAATCTGTAAAGGGTTCTCGGTAGCATGAGTCATGTTTTGGTGCAGGGTATGTGGTTAGTTGCCGACAGGGAAATTATTCAGTCACGTGCAAGTTTCAAAATCGTGTTTGCGTAGAGTTCCAACCGCGTTGGACAGGGTTCTCAGTGGCTGTCGCGCTGCAGTTTACAGTTCGTGTCTTAACGACGGCGATGTCACGGACCAGGCTGCACAAGCTGCGAATTTAGCGAGCTCCTATTAATCCCATCCGTGGCATGTGAGAAGGTGATTTACCCCAACACCAACCCACGCCAAGCCGCCTTTGATTCCCGATTGCTTTTGCAAACAGTCAACACTCGCTGCAGTACAGTCACTGACTTAATGTTGTTCTGACAGCATTTCGTGTTGCATGACGAGCACCGGTGTGAAACGGGGTCGCATGCGGGAGCCCACTGAACGAACCAGGCCAACCCCGCCTCCCAAGTTCGATTTCAGGCCACGGCCAACGCTAGTGACGATTTATCTGAACCGGTACTGGGCCTCCTCCCCATGGGTCGACTCGGCCTCGAATGAGTACCCGGTGCGGTGTGTAAAAACATCGCCGCTCGGGAGACAAAGGCGGCCGGGCGGGCGTGGTGCTGGCCACCCACCCCCCTCGTGCGCCGTGCCGGCCTTCATTGGTGCTGCTCGTGAACAGCGTTTGCCCCAACAGCCCGTTAAGGCTTCCAGTGACGAGTGATATCCAAAACAGTCCTATCCTCCTCAAACCACATTGGTGAAGTATGGTCAAACTCCCACCCCCACCTCCCCATGAATGACGCGGCGCGGGAAGGCCTTCTTCCATTGGTAACTTGAGACTGGCTCGAATTTCAACAAATTAAAGGACCATGTATCTGACGTTAAAAACACACGCAAAGATCCCCCGTATAGCCTTAACAGACTGTAGGGGCAAGTGCTGTTAGCGAGCACCTATAAAAACACACACACACACGTACAGACACCGATCCCTTTTAAGGTCGGGAAGACGGTGTGGCTACCGCCACGTCCGGCCGCGTTTGTCTCCTCATCGCAAATATTTAACGTTCTAGTAAAAAAGGCACGGTGTTGTGCTTCATTGGGGGCTGTGTTGACCGAGGCGAGCCAGCTCCCGTGCAGGCAAGACGCAGCTCGCCCGATACTGACGCCGGTCCAATACCCTCGGCCCGGGAGTCGAACCCAGGCGAGCGGCACGGTACACAAGGGGGGTGGGGGTGGCCAGCACCGCGCCCGGCCGCCTTTGTCTCTCCGGTGGCGATGTTTTTACACACCGCGCCAGGTACTCGTTTGAGGCTGAGTCGACCTAAGGGAGGCCCAAGACCGGTTCAGACAATCGTCACCGGCGTTTGCTCGTGAGCGAGAATCGAACTCGGGTCACTGGGTCCGTAGCGCAGCGTAGCGCTAACCGCTATGCTACCGCTCCCTAACACTAACCCACACTTTACCAGACCGCACGCGACCCCACCAATCGAATAACTTTTCATGTGCCCCATTTACATTTGTGGGCGAACAGAGGCGGGAGGGGAGGGTAGGGGGTCGGTGGGGGGGGGGGGCATTTCAGAAACTCGCACCATTGTGTCGACTGCCACGCCAAGAGATCGAATACGAATCGGCGACCTCTTGGATTGCAAGTCCAGCGTCGCTAACCATCCATCCACCGCACGACGTGAAGCCTCCGCAGCTACAACGGAGTGCGAATGGGGCAACCCCCGAGTCTGTGTTGACACTGGCCGAGCGGCATAGCTGCGCGTGCATGCCCCGAGGGCACCCAGGCAGGGGATGCCTACGTGCGGTTATGCTGCAGTGGGATTAGCGTGGTGGATGGGGTTGGTTGGGGGTGGGTTGGATGGGGCTTCCGTGTGCGCGCTACGCAAATTTACGCAGGGTCACTGGCGTATTTATATCTCGCTGTACTTTATAGTTACACAAGAAAAAAAAGTCAAATGTCTCCGAGATGAAACATTGTGTGGGGCGGGGGGGGGGGGGCACTCACCTGTCAACGGTGGAAATTCCACATTCCTATGGTAGGGGGGCAGTCCTTATAATAGGATGGCCACTGTTGACCCGCGCACAAATTGTCATTGGTATTTCTTTTTTTAATCAACATTGGAGAGATGATGGGTTATGCTGTCAACCGAAATGACATTTGAAAACGTCACAACTCTTGAAGGATTGACAGTCGAGCGCTGCGTGCGTGCACAATATACGTATTGTGTCGCGATATTACTTTTGACGCCGGTTGGTTGCGGGTCGGTGAAAGCGAGGAGCATAGTCAAAGAGGCATGCAAGTGCTGTACAACAATTGGTGTTCATTCACTGGCCCGAAAAGCCCGATGTGACAACCTGAATTCGAATCGCAACACTGAATCATAAAAATGTATCGCTTCCCGTGCGGAATGCAAACATCTTCATCCCCTATGTAAATCCGGTCGGTCATCCTCGCAGCGGCGGCTTTTGGTTGACCATCTGATAAAGACGCGTTTCTGCGGCCGTCTGGAACGCTCTTCCTTTCCGATATGAGGAAGCCACTGGATCCGTGCACTTTTAAATCATCATCTAGATTGAAAACTAATTTTCTTTCTAATTGCCTTTCGTGTTTCGTTTATTGTCTTTTCCCCGCACCTACAATTCGCACGGTTGGCTACGTACTGTGCAAAAGTTTAAAATACAGTGTACATACATATACTTAATGTACAAACTCATTCTTTAAGAACCCCCCCCACCCCGCGAGGTCGGATGAGCCATACAACGAAGAGATGATAATCTGCTTTACCCAAGACCTGCCCCAATGAGTTCAATAACCCCTTTGATAGGAGGGTGCTGCTCCATTGGGACCTTTGGCCAATGTAATTCGTGGCTGTTGGCTCCATTTTTGGCGGAAACCCAGAGTATACACAGAGAAAACCCCATGGATATGAGTGGATAACTTAAATATATATACTGCACTGGCACAAATAAGTCAAACACTTACTTAGCTACTACATTATTGATTTTTTTTGCCAAGCCATTACCCAGTAATCAATTGATTATCAATCATTACATTTGCTGCGGGAACCTACGTGTTAAGTTAACCTACTTTCTATCCTGCCACCATGCACTGACCGCCTCATAATGCTGTTTGTGGGCATGCCACACATGTGCTTATCTCTGTGTAATTTACCAACCCTGACTTCCAATGCCCTGCAGTGCAAGAATGTCAACACCTTGCATTGCGTTACCTGAGGTGGATAACACCTGAAGCTCAGCACAGATGGACACAATAATCCATTGCTGTACCGTCGTTCCCTGGCCTCTTCACAATGCAAACTTTACAACTAATACTTTTAATTCCTCAGGGAGCCTCCCATCAAAATATTATACTGGCTCAACTTTGCTTAGCATTCCAAGATTGGACAAAATCCAGTACTCTATATTCAGTGCGATTTGACTCAGCCATAACATGAATAGAACCACGCTCAGTGAGTTAACGTTGGTCCTGGCCATACATCGCCACCCCTGTTGTACAATGCTGGCCCTAGTAGGTGCTTGCTTACGGCACTGGCTCTGGCAGACTATACTTTATACAAGCTCGACTGGAGATCTTCATGTGTCCCGATTGTGTATGCGTGCGGATTCCCAGCCAGGGGCTGTGTTTTTCTTTGCATATTAGCTCGGGTGGGATGTCCGTGTCCCTTTCTTGGCCATAAGCATCCCAAGAGAGAGAGCGACGGGCAATTAAGCAACGTAATACGGGTTTTTTGGGGGGTTAGATCGCGTAAATATATAAATTGTGTCGTTAAACCCGACACAGCCAATTAGTAAGGTTTGTCACGTAAACAGAACGTGTCAATTCGTTACTAGTACAGCACACCGGTGTGTTGGAGAGCCAAGCCACACATGTTGTGGCGATTTAACCCCCCAAAAAACGCCTGTATAATGGATGACATTGGTCGCGAAAGCATCCCACGTGTTAAATGAAGCAACAGCCGTACACTTTGCTCATCGCTCATCCGAGATGCCAGATCGTCACCCAGCCAAAGGAAACCCGGGGGCCGCCCTACTGCTGTACATTACGCATGTTGAACTTCTTTCGCACCCTCCGTAGCCAATCGGCGGTGCTGCTGCTGCTGCACAGCCACGCGGGCAGCAGTGAGATGCTCGCTTCTTGGATGGTACAAAGGGATGTGGATGCGCCCAGCAATTGAATATCAATCCGGCACGATGGGCGGGCGATTGGGTAAAGCTTGTGTTGAATTGAGGGTTTGACACTAAATTTAGGAGAGGCACGGGTGCCGCCCTGCCATTCCCTACTCGTGCCACGACTGGTGGAAGGCCATCCACTCGAGGGAGCCTCCAGAGAGCCCTTCTAGAGAGGGCACTTGGCATTCTCTTTCACGCTGTCCAGATCTTCCAGCAATAGGTGGTAGTGCCCACACTTTACCCAGGATCTGAATATTGACACTGGAGGAATCCGATGAGCTATAGAGCTCT